ATTGGGAGGGCCCCAAGGAATCCTGTTCTGAGATTTTAAAATTGTGGTGAAGAAAATGCCTCACAAAGGAGAGGAAGTGGCTAAATCCCAACATCAAATCACACTGAAGGGACATAGTTTTTGAAGCTTTTCCTGTAGTGATACTACCATGAAGCTGTGTTAAAATGTCACAGGTTTTGCAACAGCAAACTGTTGTTAAAAGCATTAAAATGCAGGAGTATGGAAAATAGAAACAACCTGTCTGTAGGGGGCTCTCAGCTATAGAATTATAGAATTGTTTTGGCTGGAAAAGACCTTTAAGGTCATCAGGTTCAACCATTATCTGACTCTACCAGGCCCACTGCTAAACCATGTCCCTGAGTGCCGTGTCTCTACACGGCTTTTAAACACATCCAAGGACCACTTCACTGAGCAGCCTGTCCCAGTCGTTGATAACCCTTTCAGCGTAGAAAATTTTCCTAACGTCTAACTGAAACCTCCCCTGGCATAACTGGAGGCCATTTCCTCTTGTCCTATCTTGCGTCTGGAAGTGAAGCTGTTGAACCATCAGAGAAAGAAATGTAAGAAAGGAAATAATTCTGTTTGATACCCGCTCTGATCCATACCCAGATGTTTCCAGTTGCCTAAAGGAAGGAAGCTGAAGCAACTGCCCAGAGTCTGCGAATACTTTAAGAATTTTGAAGAAATGGGACACGTGCAATTTTCTGTAGGGGCTGTTATTGATGCTGCTGGTCATCAGGGAGCACAAGCAATGACTAACGTGGCAGAGCCCATTCTCCATGCAAAGGGACTAGCAGGGAGTGAAAGATATCTGCTTGCGGTGTGGCAGAGATCAAAGAAAAAGCATGTGCCATGCGGTATCAAGTCTGTCGCTCCAACAGGAATGGGATAGGGTGTGCGGCTCGCGTTATGGGAACTGCTCCATACCCCAGCACTCATTTTCCAGGGGCTTGTCCATGTGTCCTCTTCTAGCAGCAGCTGGGATGGGGATGAGGTTGCCACCTACTGCCTGCTCCTCTGCTGCTGCCTGCTGGTGTGCTGCCAGACACTCATTAAGCCCTCAGAGCTGACAGCCAAGTTGCTCACAGGAGTGGTCCCTGCACATGTGCTGTCAAAAAGCAGGTTCCTGAGTTGGCACCTGCTTAAACCTACTCCATCCCATTATGGCTGGATCAGGTGAGAGATCGTTGCTCCAAGCAGCTCAAGGGGCAGGTGGGGGCCACTAACATCTACCAAGGGTTGGGCATGTACCCGAGAAGCAGGAAGGTCTGTCTCACGTGCAGCCAAAAAGGGAGTGTGAGATGTCTCCCATAGGCAGACTACCACCTCCAAAAATCATTCAAGTGGGAGAAATAATCATGGTAAGAAGTGAGAAAAAGGGACTGAGTGGCCCCCAAACCTGAGATCACTGTTGTAGCCCCTGCCCCTTGGTTGTGCATCCTCTCCTGGTATTTGATATTGCGACCTGCAAATGAGAATGACAGTGAAACTCCTTCTGGCCTGTAGCTGAGGAGACAGAGCAGACACTTGATGGAGCTCGAGTCGAATTTCTGTCAGATCTTTTGCTGATGCAGACCTCGCTTCAGAGGCTGTGCTGAGGCTTTGTCTTTATGTCTACTCTTAGAACTGCTCTGGCTTATGCAAATGCTGTGTTTTGGGGCTCTGACTGCTGTCACAATTCCCTATTGCTATGGGCAGACTGCTTTGAGCTAGCCACTGTGCAGAGAGCTGTACCTGGCTGTCAGGCAGGGGTTTCTCCACCATGCTCCAAAGCTGGTGCTGACACCACCTCCCCATGCTGATCCGTGGGCTGGTGAAAGTGAGACGTGGCAGCCCCCTGCAGAGTCTGTGTGCCTGGCTGCAGTCTCAGAGCTGGCCAAAGGCTGACAGCCACCAGCTGAAGCAGGCAGGGACACACCTCAGGGGTGGCAGCTGCATCCGAACCGAGATGGTCCCAGCATCGTGGAGAATGCCCATTGCAACAATTCTGGGAGCGTCAGTACCTGTTTGCACACCCAGGTCTCACAGCAGCTTTTGAAACTGAGTCTGCATCAGCCTATGCATTCGTCAGTGTCAGTGTCCACCCAAATGTTGAGGAGTGCACCCCTGTGCCCACACACCAGGAAGGATGATTTTGTCAGCTGAAAGTCTCTTTAAAATGTCTCCTGCTTTTTTAATCCCAACTTAATGGGAGATAATATCGCCTCTTACTGGTATCTAGTATTTAATGGTTGCTGTTCACAGCACACCACTGGAAAGAAGAACAAGAATTACACCTTTTTGTAATTGTTGTTTCTTCAGTATCGTTCTCTTCCATTTACCTATTTATTTTTGGCCTATCCATGATGGCTGCATCATTGTTACTATTTTTATCTTTTGATAAAAACCCTGAGTGACACATTTTGCACCTCTCTAGTTTTCTGCTCCATTTCTGCCACCAAGTACCTTTTGTTTCCTCTTTCTATGCTTTTTATTTTGTTTTTTTTCCCCCCTCATTTTGCAGTAGGAGAGGTAGATAATTTTTAACTGTCCCAGATTACAGTTCGAGAAAGGTGTGAATTTGAAAGGTTTCTCTTCACTTATATTGAACATTACTGACACGTTATTTTTGTGGCAGACTTTGAACCTTTGATTTTAACCAGCTTCTATAAATGTACAGAAGTAAACAACAGACTCTGTAAACAGTTCAATACAGAAGACTTGATTTAGTACCTTACAAGACAAAGCAATCAATAATCTATTACACATCTAATCACAGGCCTGAATTAGCCCAGCAGGCCCTGCACAGCATTCCACCAAATGAGAAGGGTGGCTGGAGACCGTGGTAAGAGGGACACAAATCACCAAGACTGCAAATACATTGCTTGGAGTAGATCTATAAATGCAAATATTCAAATTCAACAGTCACCTCTCGCTACAAGTGAATCACGCTATCGGTATCTGGAGACTAGTTGCTATGGCAGAAAGCTGTAGCGGTGGCAAAAGGCCAAGAATCCCGCCTTTGAAATGTTAACTGAATTTAACTCTTGACTTTTCTCAGACAAGGTTCATTACTTCGTGTGAGTGTCATGTTAAATGAATGCTTTGTCTGCCCTAGGTACCAGTTTGGAGGGGATATTATTAATCACTGGGACAGCAAAGCAGATCAGCAACAACCATTTGTCAATAAGCAATTTTTCTTTATACCTTCAAGTCCAGTATATGATAGCTGCAGTCACATAAGGGCCTTTTTGCTTTAATCTTTTTTTCTTTTCTCCATTTTTTTTTCTTCTTTCCTAACCTGTCTCCTTGCTTTAGGCAGGTTATACCCAGTTCACAGCACCTGGATGGGCTCAGAGCCAACCTACGTTTCAGGCACGGTGGTGTGATGAGGAGATTCTCTACTTTGAACAGTTACAGCCCGGGCACAGTCGTGCTGCTGCTCCATTTAAGTGACACCGTAGGCTATAATACTCACCAGGAAAATCAGGAGCTTAGAGACTTCAGCAATAAAGAGACTTCAGTATAAAGATCAGTTGAAAAATAATTTTGTGAATGGCAGAACTACCTACACATGGAATTTAGGCACAAGCGCTTCTTCCAGCTGCCTCTAGCATAGACCCTGTTTCAAGGGCAGCCGCAGGTGCATACGCTGTGCTTCAGCTGGAAGATCTCAGTCCTTTACATCTGCACAAATGAGATCTCTCAAATTAGTTATTAGGCCAGATTTGGCTATTTAGGATTACCAAAATCCATGGAAATGCCTAGATTCATTCAGCGGTGCTACCAACACCTTTTCTTCAACATTAGGACGAGCTATTAAGAAGGACATGCACTTTGGAAGTTAACAGAGAATGGCAGAATAAACTAGATGGCATTTTTGTGAAGACAACTATCAAAGAGAGTAGTGTACTGAGAACTGCATCCACAGTTCTAAAGATGCAGATTCACAAATTGTGACAATGATTTTTCTCCTACAAACACAATACAGGCATTACTATTGTGGGGGGGAAAGCCTTGAATACAGTAGGTCTAGTACAAAATTATAGTGGAGGTGAAGATGGTGACCGAATTTGGAAGGGCTGCTGTACAATATTCCTACCCCAGTCTGCCCTTCTGGAGTTTTGCCCAGTCCCACGAGTATGTTAATAACCACACGACAGTGTAAATGGCTCTGTAGCCTGCAGAACATTTCATGTTCCACCTTCAGAAATCTCGTCCTGACATCCAGCACTTGTTTTCATCTGTTACACAATTCTTTCAGGAAGGAGTTCACAAGGTAAGAGGGCTCTTGCAGTCTCTCCCGCTTCCCTTCCCAACAGGCTTTTGACGATGTGCTCAGACTTGAAGGAAGGGAAATACAAAAGCCCTGCGCAGCACGCAGTAGTATGCTGCTACACAGCACTTAAAAATGCTTTTGCAGTATCACCCAGGTTCTTTGTCATCTTTCGTTAACCATGACAACTGCTGCATTTCCCCTTCTCAAGATACATTGATTTTTTTTAAAAAAACTCACTCGAAATCATACAAGCCACAAACTTCCAATTTTGTTTTGTTTTTTTTTAAACTAATGGCTCACAGTAAGATTTCAGGGTGGTGGTTTTTTTTGTAAATATGCAGAGATATCATTTGATGATACATGTTTTCTTGTTTAATAGGGGTCCTTAGATCAAGAGCAGAATATTTATTGTAACTTTGTAGACCACAGATGACATCTGCCAGGGGAGGTTCAGGATAGATATTAGGAAGATTTCTTTACTGAAAGGGTTTGTCAGCTGTTGGAACAGGCTGCCCAGGGAGGTGCCTGAGTCACCGGCTCACGAGGTGTTTAAGAGATGGGTGGATGTTGCACTGGCGGAAATTATTTAGTAGGCTGATAGGGCTGGGACAAAGGCTGGACTCGATCTTCTAGGTCTCTTCCAGCCGATACGATTCTGTGAATCTGTCTTTGAAATCCAAGGATTCCTCAGGTATACCAGCAAAAAGCAGGCTTCATTGACATTGAAAAAGCAACAACTAGGAACATTTAAAATGAACCATTTATTAAATCAAACTGTTATTTTAACAGTTACATAAGTTACACAGCATGTTTAAGTCAAAAGATTTCACAAGGAAAAAAAAATTAAACTTTCATTATGCAGGCAAAAATAGTACCACACAATATGTACCTGGGAGGGAAGAAGGGAAGGGGAATCTCTAAACATTCAAATAAGGCCATAATTATTTAAAAACAACAATAAAACAATAATAAAACCCCCCAAAGATCCATTTTCCTTTCAGTGTTCAGTGCTGCTAACTATATGTACTTCTATTGTACAGATGTAATCGAGGCAGTGATATCTTGATAGCTAGGTTTAGTGTTTTAAAACACTATCACAAGTGGCATAAGGCTCATTAGTACATACAGCTGCCCTTGGAATGTCAATCTCAGTTGCCTTCATTAACTTAAAATTCACAAAGTGCACAGTTTAAGATATGCCAAAAAATTGAAACTGCTACTCTACCAACAGCTGCCCATGCTTAATACTTAGTGGTCTATTGGAACAAAGTATGTTCTTTCAGAAAAGATGTGTAAGAAAAGCCACTGTAAAACATTTAGTTTCAAAGATGCACTAGGAGCTTTTTGTAAACTGAAAAGTAGAAAAACATGGATTAATCATGTAGAGAAAAGAATACAAAAAAACACTAGAAATGACCATCAAACTTTCAAAGAACAAGCACCACAACAGACATTAGCATTCGATTTTGCAGTGTACAGCAATGTAATGATTTTACTCCAACCAATCCACTTCATCAAATTCTGAATCATCTTCTGAATCACTGTATTCCACAGCAATGCGACGAGAAAGTATGGTAGCAACATCATTCTCAATGCGCTCATGCTTAGCTTCTTGTTCACGTTGCTCTTCAACTTTGCGTAGCTGAATACCTAAATAACATGAAATCACAAATGTTACTCTCCTCCTTTATCACTATACAAAGGATCCACAAAATGCTTTGCAAGCAAAAACAAAGGCTGTGGAGGCTGTCCTCCTCAGACAGAAGTTCTCTGTCAAGTTTTTAAAGAATGTCAGAAGTGCAATGGCAGACAGACTAGATCATCAGTCCTTCTACTACAATATCCTGCTTGTGATTGTCCATTAAAAATGCGCCCACATTTTAGTACCACCGTGATTAAGCCATTTGACTACTTGCATTTCCAGACACTTTCTATATTCCCTCTTCATTAATTCAATTACAAGTTACAGATATCTGAGTATCTTAACACGACAGGACTGCTTGTAATGCAGTTTAATGATCTGTTCTTGGATAAAGTATTACTTAAAGATCAAACACAAAAGAGAAATAAGCACATCCTGATAGTACGAGAAAACTAAATCTAGTAACTTAGTTAAAAACATTACAGAGATCATATATTTTGGTTTTATGCTTACAACATCACAGACTGACATAGTATAATTATGACCCACATCCTGTACTTAACACTCTCCACACAAGCACAAGCCCTTAAGTGGAATTTAAGCTGTAGTAACTTGAGCCATTGCTTCTTGTGCAAGACTTGGTCAAAAGTATTTTCAGGAATCACCTAAATTACACAAGCAGGCTCTCCTTTATTAGTTTTTTTGCTGACATTCTCTACTAATGTTCATGCACCACTGTTGTACTCAAATGTTGTTGATATTACTTTAGATTTAATGATGTTATCAATTCATGTGCATATAGATGCTTTAAAAATATTTTGAATTGGCATTATAGCCCACCTACTGGTATTACAGTACTATACAGATTCTGTACTGTGTTGTAAGTGCAGGGGAAAAAACCAAAGAATGTAGTACCTGACACATTTGAGGAAGATTAATTATTCAAAGATATCACACAGTCAAACAGCAGCATGCACAGTGCAGTGGGTATTTTTCTGGCCATGGTCACCTCAGAATCATGGAATGGTTTGGGTTGGAAGGGACCTTAAAGATCATCTAGTTCCAACCCCCCTGCCATGGGCAGGGACATCCCCGACTAGACCAGGATGCTCAAAGCCCCATCCAGCCTGGCCTTGAACACTTCCAGGGAGGAGACATCCACAACTTCTCTGGGCAACTTGTTCCAGGGTCTCACCACGTTCACAAAAAATGCTTTCTTCCTGGTATTTAATCTAAATCCTAATATCTAATCTAAATGGTCTGAAACTGTTACCCTGCATTCTATCACTACATGCCTTTGTAAAAAGTCCCTCCTCAGCTTATACATACAGCTCCTTGCTAGATCATCAGGAAAACACTGCCCTGCACCTCTGCCAGGCACTTACACCCTGCCAGCGGGGCACTTTGCAGTGTAAAGACTGCTCCAGTACTGTGTTGAGACATGCCAAGATTAGATACTTAACAGCTTTAAGTCATAAGCAACAATTTTGGAATCTCATTTATATGTTGTTGTAATACATTTATATGTTGTTGTAATAATTGATAGGCAATCAAAATTCCAATGCCAACTGATTTTTTCTGCTTTTATCTATCAATCAGTCTGTGAAGAAGAATGCTTTTGTCTTCTACACACTCTGTGGGTAATCAGAAATAGCTACGTTTTCAGCTAAACAGAAATGAAGAGATAATCTCCACAGATCATCTATAAACACACGTACTTTTAAAAGAGATCTAACTTCCACAGAGAACCAGTTTCACCATCCAAAGTAAACATCTGATAAGTGCAATTACAAATTGAAAAAGATCTGTCTACCTGGCAGTGCATATGCTGTAGAGAAGGACTTAAGATGCATTCCTCTAAAGTAACTTCTTCCACACGTGAAATACTCTACCTCTCAAAACTTATGTATATTTAGCAAGTTTCAGAGACCATTGTTTTTGCCCTTTAACAGCTAACCATTACCTTTTCGTATTGCTTCCAGAAGAACGCTTCGAGCATCACTGATTACAGGAAGAGTTGAAGGATGGCGTTTGGGTTCAGGAGCAGGAATCACTTGGGATGGTGGAGATGGAGGCATTAGGGGGGCATGAGGGCCAGGGACAATGGTAGTGGGAGGAGGGTGCAAGACAGGAGGAGGGTGAGAAAGGGCTGCAACTGTGACAGGAGAGGAGGGTCGAATGCCAGGAGGAGGCAAGGGAGGAGGTGGCGGTGGTGGAGGAAGTCCCTGTATTTCAGCTTGTGGAGGAACTGGGTGAACAGGTACAGCTTCGCACACTTGGGCAGCTCTAGTGACAGGAGGAGAGGGTTGTGCCAGCGGAGGAGCAATTGGAGGTGGAGCTGGATGTAGGACTCCAGGTGCTATCTGGAGAGGAGCTGGGGGAGGTGGCACAGCTGGGGCCTGCAGAGCAGCTGTGGGAG